CGAATAATATTAGGCACTGTAGCAATGGTGGTACAAAAGTGGTACAAAAAAGCTCAAAAACACATAGCAGCTTGAAAACATGACACGCGCGGACAACGGCTCGAAAGCACTCGAAAACATTGTAGGAAATGTGTATGTCGGATCGTGCTGAATCTAATAGAGACATCCTTCGGAGACAGATTTAGTCCATGTATCAGAAGCGACCTAGTAGATGAGACTTACCTTACGGGAGATTCACTAGTAGAGTTGGCTGTCACAAACTGCTTGCCCCCCGAGGTCCAGAACATCCAAGAATCGTTGGTAACCTGTTGCAAGCGAACGGTTAAAACAACGTCAACAAACAAAAAAGGTCACGCAACAATAGAGTGGCCTCAGTTTTATATCATCCCACTGTTCTAAACTCGTGTGGTCAGCGCAATCATACCGTCGGATAAGCGACATGTGAGACACTCACAGGGCAGAACCAGTGGAGGAGAATAGCGAGACCTTTAACTTGGAGGTGGGAATGTGGTGGGGAGGAAGAAGGGTGGGGAGAAAGAAGGGTGGGACAACAGAAATTTGGCCCCAACAATTTATGTTGCTTTGGGGTGCCACATGACCTTTGTAGCTTGCACAAGTTGCAATGACATTGATGCAAAGTTTGTGTTTGCGATGTGCAGTTTGCGCTTTGCGATACGGAATTTGTGCTATTACATAGCTTGATACGAAGATGTTATGCAATGCGAACTTTGCAAAGCTAATAAATGACGAAAATATAAGAAATGAGCACACCCTGGCACAGTACTAATACGGTAATTCACGTCTCAGCACATATAGACCTCTCCCGTCATAGTCAGTTTTCACTGGGCCTCACACCCGGGATTCCACATTCTGCAAGACATCCTGTGCACCATCAAAGGCCATGTCAAGAGATCACCTGCTGCTCCGGGAACTCGGTAACTTTGATTTATTACCTCCTCTGATTTGGTTGATGTACAACTACCTCAGCTCCGTCATGTCTACAATTATGATACACATGGGCCCACCTGTCTATATTTTATACCACCCTCGGCCCACCTGTCTAATACAATATCCCATACAACACCCTCAGCCCACCCGTCTAATGAAATATTGTATAAAACACTCTCAGCCCACCCGTCTAATACAATATTTTATAATACCCTCGGCCCACCCATCTAATTTAATATGCGTCTGGGCCCACCCATGAATGTGATAACAAGTACCTACCCATCTATCTCATACACATCTACCTTAATACACCCATCTGCATAATATCCAACTACCTCGGCCCACCCGTCTACCGAATATTCATGTACATCGGCCCACTCATCTACTCTATATATTCCCTGCATGGGCCCACCCGCCTCCATCAGGAATAATTTCCCTCCCGGCCCATCTGTCATAGTCAGGGATATTTTCATCATGGGCCCATGATCCGCTGGCCCGTATCATACGGGATATTATGCACGTCCGTTCCCTCATATTATACGGAGATAGGTCACTGTAATATGTGCACCACAACCACTAAAATCTGAAGCAAGCCAAACAAAGTCTGATCTAGGAGATATTGACTCTATAGAAATTATAGATCATGGTCACATGTAGAGGTAAGTGAAAGCTTGACATGCCATTGATAATATTGGAGAGAAATCAAGAATGAGGGCGAAACACGAAACAGCGACAAAGCTATCATGTCCGACCCTTCAGTGGAAAAAAGGACCATAATCATAATATGAACTTACCTTGCAAAGTAAAGCACATGAGTTTTCATCAACACCACAAAACAGTCCCGATAATCCCTCCTACCAAATGTAATCTAAGAAGTAAAGTAGAACCGGTTTTGCTAGCTCGCATGGCTTTCGCTAAAGGCCACATGGTCCTCACTTGCAGCGCTTAGCTCGCTTAACCTCGATTTGGCAACTCGCGTGGTTTTGTCACGTGTTTTCAAGCACCGACTCAAACAAATAGTGTCGCCCTTTGGGAACTTAGCACGACCTTGGTAACTATATATGTACATGGCATTAAATAATGAAAAAAGATGTGTTTGAGCAGGGCAAGGCAGATATGTGATTAGATTTGAGTGTTTTCCCTACTGTAATTGTTATGATAGTATTTGTATACATACAGTAAACAACATATAATACAATTACAGATGGGAAAAACAAACATGAAATAAAAGAGATTGGGGGATGAATGACAGAAGGTAATGAAAAAATAACAAAAGGGAGAAAAAGACCACTGAGAGACTCAAAAACTGGAGAATGGGAGGACGGGAGACGGGAGACGGGAGACGGGAGACGGGAGACGGGAGACGGGAGACGGGAGACGGGAGACGGGAGACGGGAGACGGGAGACGGGAGACGGGAGACGGGAGACGGGAGACGGGAGACGGGAGACGGGAGACGGGAGACGGGAGACGGGAGACGGGAGACGGGAGACGGGAGACGGGAGACGGGAGGACATGGGACACAATGGGAGATGGGGGCAGGGAAAAATGGGAAAATAAATACATTCAATGATACTGTTACATATTTTGTAATTTTATGTTGTGTAGTAGATTGTATTTTTACATTTGTCAAAATCCTGCTCAAAAAACATAGAACTGACTGATCTTATGTACTATGTACTTTTATGTGGTGTGATAGATTGTACTTTGAGTTTTTTTGAAAAGCTGCTCATAAATGTATTTCAAAATTATTCAAAATGTACAATTTATTAGGATGCAGCCTGAGGCCAGGAAGCCAAAGGAGGGTGCAGCCCTCCTTGGCTTCCTGTGACAAAGGAACAATGCTCATCAGGAGCCTTCTGAATTATTGGGATGAAGCTGAGGCCAGGAAGCTAAAAAAAGAGTGCTTCGCACTCTTTTTGCTTCCTGTGCCAAAGGCAGAATGGGTGTGGACTAGTCGGAGTTCACAGAAGTGCTTTACCGCAATCCAGACTGCGAAAAATAGTGTGAGGACCTCCCAAACAATGGAGAGTATCCAAGCAACAGAATTCAGAATTGGGGCATATCCTGTATACTAGGTAATCATGCACTGATAGGTGCCGGAGAGAATGAATTCCTCTGGCATCCATCAATGAGCCATATGCATGTTCATTTTCATCCAAACATACCTAGGACCTGAAGTATGCATCATTGAAATTATGGCTGTCACTCCATAAAAAGTGTTGATCACCAGGAAGGTGACAACGAGAAATATCAGGATCTTTCTGTCTCATTGATACAAGTGCTGATAATGACTTGTGGCATGTTTCAGTCATTCCAATATCACTGAGGTCTCGCAAGTACAAAACTCACCCCACAGCATCATAAATATCACAACAGCCATCAAATCCCATATACAGTACATCATCCAGCCTAAAAAATCCAGTCAGTGACCAGTCTCAGGTAGCACATCTCAAACAAACTCACATCTTTGGTAGTTGTTAAGACCGTGCACAAAGGGTAGGACTGATTCTGAGGGGCTTGGCTTCAGCTCGTGCGCTGCGCCCCTTACCCGAGTATGTGCCCTTAATTTCAGAATGATGTCCGAAGAAAGTCCAAGGATGTCCGAAGGAAATCCAAAGTGCAGGAAAGTTCGGAAGGACTTTCCGGACGAGTGCAAGTAACTTCCGGACGAGTGCGGGAAAGTTCCGGAGGAACTTCCGGAAATTACGATGAGGTTTCGTCCTGATACGGATACGTGTAATGGCTACTTAGGACTTGTCCTAAGTAGAAGCAAACAGAGGAAAGGCTGCAAGGACAAAGTCTGAAGCAGAATAGGTCCGGAGGACCGCGGGAAAGTTTCGGACGAACGTCCGGAAACTTCGGAGGATCGGATGAGCGGATGAGCGGATGAGCGAGGATCGGATAAGCAGAGCTCTGGCCTAGGGAATTTCTCCCTAGGCCTGAGATGGATATTGACTAAGTCGATAGACTAGCACTGATGTGAGGACTTAGAGTGAGATCTAGTGCGAGGACTAATATGATATTCAGACTGAGGAACTACAGGACATATACAAGAGTTTATATACTAAGGAAATAACGGAAAGATCAGTAAGCAAGCATCCGAGGCTATGTATGAAGCATAAGCAAAGTTATCAAGTGCGAGTCAGAAATGAAGCATAGGTTAACGGATCAGTAAGCATACTGGTAGTAAGTATAACCGAGAAACCGAGGACAAGGAATACCGAATAGAGGAATAGGCTGTGTTAACGTTATATGCACAGGAATGAATTAGGAAGCTTATCGTATATTGAATTGGATCGGATCGGACCGGACGTCCAGATGAGATGCGTGGATATATGGGATATGACATTAGGGTGATGGGACAAAGGATGACTGATGCAGGCTAGCTGAGGTATGGAGGTAAAGGGATGTGGATGTGGATGTGCAGGGGTGCAGGGATCCGGATGGATAGAGGACTGGAGACATGGATAGGGTGTCCGAAGGTCTGGATGAGGCATGGGAACATTGTCAGATGTAGGTCTGGAATATGGGATATGACACTAACCTGAGAAATGTCAAGATCGCTATACATCGCCCGGATACGATCCTTCACTTGCTGCAGCTATGTCCCAACCTCTGCTTCTTAGCGATCCGCCTATCCTATTCCAGTTAACAAAATTAACTGATAACTCGAGCAGTTAAACTCAGCCGTTAACTTAACTCAATCAGTTAACTCAGCAGTTAACTCAGCAGTTAACTCTATCAGTCAACTTAGGCACTACCAGAATTACATTCATTCATGGCTTGATGTGTTCTAAAGGAATGTAGACATCATCCCCAAGACTGAGTTCAGTGACACCTGGTAAAGGTGGCTTGATATGCCCATAAGCATTGGATTCGCTTTCCCGAGTTTGCAACTTCCATAAGGTTTTCAAACTTAAGGTTTGTGGCAGTTTGCAGTGTACTTCCAACCCTCTACCACTGTATCGCGGAGTACAAAGGGCCCCTCGAGGCCTCAAAAGGCCACATCATTGATTCACGGATACTATACCCTTTATCGTCTTGATCCACCATGTCGTCGAACGATTCTGTCGAAGTAAAGGCTGTCTGGTCAGACGAGAGAAATACAATCATAAACAGTCTGTGAGGCTCAGACAACACAGTGGCGATGGCTGTGGGAATTGCACGCAATCACATCAGCCAACATATTTCAAAGTGTTATGGGCTCAAGCCTCCATTAGACCTGCTCACCATTCAGCAGGTGAAGTACATCCCATGTAAGCTTCAACCCATTTTTCATTTGCTGCGGGGGCCAACTCATTGATACACTTCTCTTGAAGCTGTTAAGCCTTCAGATATGCTCAGTGTCTGCCACCCCGATGGTCTGACACTCATAATCACTCCTAATGCTAATGCAAAATGTTGTATCAAGAACCACCTCAAGTTGGCCCAGAATGCACAGGCCAATCAGACACCTGTGGAACTCAATACGACATTGGCGACGGCCAACACTGAACCAAGCACAGTCCCACCTCGCAAATGTATGTTATAATGTTTGAATAGTCTACAGACACACTGATCAGATTTCCGCAGCCAAGAATGCTAGGAAATGAAATACTGTGTCGAGGGCTGACTCCACATCAACAGTCAATCTTGCATTGATGGCCAATCCCTCTCAGGTGACTATGGACAGCCAGCTTAAGGAGATGCTGGCCTTGATGCAGAAGGAGATTGCGGAGATTCAAGGAAAGAATGAGAGCATGCACAATGACAATGAGAGGATTCTTGGCAAGAATGAGAGCATGTGCAATGACAACGAGAGGATTCTTGGCAAGAATGAGAGCATGCGCGGTGAGATCAAGAGCATTTGCAGCGAGAACGAGAGGATTCTCAGCAAGGATGAGAGCATGCGCGGTGAGATCAGGAGCATTCGCAGTGAGAATGAGAGGATTCTCAGCAAGGATAAGAGCATGTGCGGTGAGATTGAGAGGATCACCAATGAGAATGAGAGCTTGTGCAAGGACAACGAGCGCATTGATAATGATCTTGCCGTCGTTCACAAGCACCTTGATGCAGCAAGAGTCCAACACACTCAGGACATTGAAGCACTCAGAGAAGTCATCCTTTTTTCCGATCACTGACCCTGACGATGATCTCCCCAGGTCACCATGTCACTAGTCCCCTTGCATCTTCGTGTCCTACTCGACGGTGCACGCAGAAAGGTTCTAGAACACCTCAGCCATGAGACCTGGGAAGGACTTCACGATTCTCACAGCATCTATCAACTTTCAAATATTATCTTTGATGCTCTCAAACAGCAGGGTGTATCATACACCCTATCCCACCAGTCCATTCTTTTCTTGTGTTCATATAACAACATCAGGCGTGCGGGAAATACCATTACTCACAGTGCAAAGGAGAACAATGTCAGGCATGCAGTCTTGACCCAGCCACTGGAATCCCATGATCACGAATGCTTGGAGAATTTATTTACATATGCATATGATGGGAAGGAACTCTAGCATGGCATTTACTATACCAATCATGTTTGTACTCGTTCTCTGTCTCTTACTACTGTCTGTATTTTACTGATACCTGTCTCACTAGTCTCCGTCTCTCACTGCTGTCTGTTTTTTTTGTAGTGTTGCATCTTCCTCTTACTGCCATCCATTTTGCTACACTTGCATAACCAAATTGAATTGAATTCAAGCTGTTTCAAACACAAATCGTGCGCACAAAGAGGGCAGAGTTCAAGTAAGATTAATTGATCCAAAGGTAGTGTATGACAGGCTGCGCCAATGTTAAGCCATCCAAGGCATTTAGATGTGGCATGTGAATGTTGTCCTAAATGTTGAAAACCCCGATGCATGTGTCAAGCATTTTTTTCGCATTTCCAGGAGGAAGTAATAGTCAGCTGAACAACAAGACCAAATTGTGGGTCCATGTTTGTACCTTATAGCTACTTGAAGTCGAGACTTAACCATGAATTGTTAACTAGCTTTAAGCCTACTTTTGGTTTCCCAGTAACAGTCAGTCAGTCAGATAAAACCTCCATGACAGTCCCCACAGTAAGTCATCCTTCATTGATATTGATGCCCAGCAATCAGCTAAACAAGAATTAACTTTGACGCTGAACACACAGCCTTCTGAGCTTCCACACATGGAGGCCATCAATGGAAACCTTACCCAGGGAGCACAGACCTTGCAGGAAGTTTGCCTCAAACTTCAGCAAGAAAATGCAAAACTTAAACAATTGGTGGGGCAGTTGATTGCAGAGTATAATGAATTGGCAGTAACCCTTAATGGGCTTGCTGAGCGCTACTGCATTATATGTTTGATCCTTACCGCTTCAAACTGCATAATAATACTGAATGTCAATATTTGTAGTAGGTCTAGTGGTGCCTTGTTTCCTGCTCAAGGGAATAAACTGGCAGTCACATCAGGAAACCTACATTTCTGCTGATGTTCCTGTCCCCTACTGAACTGTCTGATATCAGACCTACAGGTAGTGCAGTCATGCAACAATTGCTGAATTCAGTGCCATGCCTGAAATCAGTGGTAAACAGCCCTACAGACACTCAGAGGTACTGTTTGTGTACAATTCAGGATGTCAGTTTCTAAGAGATGCAATACATCAGATATGTAGTTTAGTTTGTACAAAAGCCTCACAGCACATCACACAACATCAGGACATTATGATATTCAAAATCATATTCAAAGTAGCTACTACATTGGTATATACACTACTAACTAAAAGAAAGAGAGAGAGACTCACTAAAATAGACAAAAATGCGAAAATATCAAGGTCAAAAGAGGTCAGGGAAAGAAGAGACTTACTGAAAAGACCAAAAATGCGAAAATATATAGCCTGAAAATGAGCAGGGAGTCAGTCTTCAAAGGAGAGGAGAGGAGGGGAGAGAAGAGACTCACCAAAAGGACCAAAAATGCGAAAATATATAAGCTAGAGGTGAGCAGAGAGTCAGTCTTCAGAGGAGGAGAGAAGAGAAGAGACTCACCAAAAAGACCAAAAATGCGAAAATATATAGCCTGGAAATAAGTAGGGAGTTAGTCTTCAGAGGAGAGAAAAAAAGAAAAGAAAAGAGAAAAAACTCACCAAAAAGACCAAAAATGCGAAAATATATAAGCTAGAAGTGAGCAGGAAGTTAGTCTTCAGAGAAGAGGAGAGGATTAGATTGGAAACTTACTATTGCACCAATCCCAAAGCCTCATCCACACCAACACATCCTAACTTGAATGTCCAGGAGCCTGACCTAAGGGCAAGGGAGGAAAAAGAAAAGGATTGAAAAAAAAAAAGAGAAGAGGGCAAGGAGACTTGAACAATGTCAAAAGACTTGAATTGTTGGACACATTTTTGATTATATAAGCTTTCCCACCTAACTTCAACCAACATCACATGACTGCTTATATCATCAAAAATGCGAAATTTCACTAAGTCCCTGCCACACTATGGTACTAGACATTAACATTAGTATAGTAGTGTAGTATACATTAATGTAACTACTCAGGAATCAGTTAGTAGTAAATTATTGTTGGATAATAGATAAATATTCGACATATTAAATGTGGAGCTCATTGTAGTGTGCAGTGAGCGGGCATTTCCTAATTAGGCAATAGGGCGCTAGTGCAGATGTCTGCACTTGTGCCAGGTACAGAAAAATTGTACACACTGCAAAATTATATATTTGTACTTCTGATAATCTAGAGACTAGTAAAGCTGATATTGCTGAATGACTACATAATTTTCTTCTAAAAGTCTGACATGCCTGAACACTCTGTGATTTTTTTTGTCTGATAATCTGATGTTGCTAAATGACTGCATAACTTTCTTTTGAAAGTCTGACATACCTGGGCTGTCTGATTCATTCACACCACTCGCCAACCTCATCCTTTTCAAAGGGCGTCCGTCGGCAGGACCTCTATCTGAGTTGCCAAGAATGTTCTCTGGGCTGTCAGAATCTTCCAGGCTGCCTGTCTCGGCATTGCGCCTCACCCTTTTTGAAGGGTGTTTGTTGGCCTTGTCCTATTTGAGGAAACCTGACTAGGACTGGAGTTTGAGATGACATACCTTGTAGCCCGTAGCATTTGTGCATGGAGCTGCAGTCTGCTGTTGATTGCCACTGTATGTGAGGCCACAAAACCTGATGATACCATATATCCACATACTGTTTGTCCAATGATCTGAGCAGTTGATGCACCACTATACCTATCAGAAACACCACTGATTTCCCGCTGTGGATGATCACATTGGCTAGCAGGCAGCGTAACCTTGAGACTGGCTTCAGAATTAAAAGGCCGCCACAGTCCAGGTAGAACCCTCTGAGGAGCAGCTGTTGATGGCAATAATGCATGGGCAATTAATGACATGGTGTTGTTCAGCTTGGCTAAGGAACGCTCCATGCTACCAAGATGATCCTGAAAATATTGATAGCTATGTGGAGGTAGTGGATCGGAAATAGCAACTGTGGGAGGAGTCTTCCACATCAATGAAAGGGTCTTTCTAGAGGCAGACCGCTGTTGGGTGTACAATGCCTGGAGGGAGAGGGCTGCTTCTTCATTAGGAACGTCCCTCCCAAAGCCCAGTAGCTCCTGCCAAAGGTCGCAAAATAACATGGTTCAGTGAGCCATTGTATTGATAAGTTGGGGGTGATCTTGGTGTGCTTGGGCATACATTCTATCACCAGTTGCTTGAGTATGGCCAAGTTGGCTATGTAGGACGTCATTAGTTCTTGGCAACAGAATGTCAGAGATCCGATAATGCTCCGCAATTCCAGGAAGAATGTGTCTTAACAAGCTCATATTGAGGCTGATATTTCCAAGAAGGTGTTTGGTAGTTATCCGCTGGAGTATGCGTGAAAGTCGTTCTGACATCCATCATTGCCCCATGCTGGATAGTAGGTAGCAGTGATGATGAGGGTCGATGTCCTCTGGAGCAAGAACCCAATCAATAGTCCAAGCACTGATACTAGCAATGGATGCTTGAAATCGCCTCAGGACGGCTTCTAAAGGATAAGCTAAGAAATGCAAAGTCAACTTGTCATTACCGGAGTTCTGAGAGGACTTGTTGTAGTCCCCAATGCACACGAGGCAATGGAAGAGATACATGATGTTTCGCCCTCAAAAGCTGGTATTGACAATCTTGGCCCAAATTTCTTCTGAACCTCATTTTGGCATTTCTGGGATCTGATGAAATAGGAAGTAAAAGCACTCCTTAAACTCTTCAACCTGCCACAGGTATTCCTCCCATGGCCCCTTGAGCGGAACAGGATTTCCACTGGAATCAATACTGAAATACTTTTTGCAGAGTTTGCGGTTTGCCATCACAAATTTCAGTGGATTCCAGGTGGCCTGCATCTCTGAAGCCAGGACTCCACAGCCTATGACATGCTCGTGAGGCTGATCAACAACTTCTTCCGGGTTCTTGAGATGCTGTAGCACAGCATCACTGGCACCAAACAGAAGGTTTTCATCAAGTATACGGATCATCTCTCAGTAGATGCTGTGGTACATTTTTGGTCATGGAGGTGACTGAGAGCGGTTTCCCATCAAAGGTGAAGTCAGGGCCATCAAATGTGGTGAACTGAAGTCGAGGAAGGGCAATGTGACCTCTGCATAGGGCATAGCACAAGCGTGAATATCATCGGACAGAGCAAAATGGGGTTCACATGCCAGGTTCCATCCACTACTTCATGGAACTCATGAATGTTCTACATGTATGATATATTCAGCGATTGCTCATGTAAGATAGCGCTACACCTTACTTGTATGGGTCAGAAGTCTTCATGACCTCTGTCAGGATGGAGAACATGGTGGTGTAGATTAACTTGGCCAGGTGACTGGAGATCAGATGCAGAGGAACAAAGTGTCCTTGGATATTGATGCTGGTAGCCATGATGAAGGAATCTATAGGTGAATGAAGAGGACCCCATAAATCATGGTTGGTGGCGGTGGTAAAAACAGACAGGATGACAGAATGATAGGCCTCCATCAGCCCAGCTTTGGTGGAGCTCACATTGGTACAGTATTCCCTCAGCGCCTTGGCATACTGTATCTGAACATTGTTCAAAAGTATGGGATAGGCAGCCTGGTCGTTCAATAAATCTGTGTCTGTTAAGTCATCTTCTTCTACAGTTGGATCACCTTCCAGCCATATGGTATCCTCATCTACCTCATCAACAAAGTCCATATCCTCCCAATCCTAAGAAGGGTGCATTTCATCATCCTCATCTTCGCCATGATCGTCTACCTTTTCCTCAGTATCTTTATCTATGGGGTTAGGGTCTTTGACACCTGAGCTCCCTATGATCACCTCTGCGGACGCTGATTGGGAGGACAGAGCGCGCAAAATCATTATGACCAGCCGATCACAATGGAGCCCATAAGTCTCAATGAAATCTTTTTCCTGCAATATCTGAAATGGGCGACTCAATGTTCTATTAGAAATTCTGGGTGCTGTATGGCCAAAGAAAAATCTTACTATCGAGCCCGCCAGCTGGTGAGAGCATCCAAGAGGGTAGGTTTGATATCTGAGGTGGTGGAAATGGTGGAAAGATATCTTATCTGGTGTCTGCTAGCTTGATGAGTTTTCTGATGAGGAAGACCTCACGGTCGGCTGAGTTGGAAAAGAGGATTTTTAAAGAGAGGGCTTGTTGAACAGTCAATTCCCTCTATCTGCACATTATATACTAAAGCTGTTGGGAAATACAACGAGTTTCGTGTCCCAGTGACACTTTTCTTGTTATACAGTGCCAAAACTGTTCAAACCACCGCCATCATGGACTCAGGGGCAGGCGGGACTTTCATTAGCTATGACTTTGTCAAGCAAAATGGGATCTGAACACATCTGCTCAAGAAACCCTTCTGGATCACCACAGTAGACGGAAGCCTGTCCTTGGCAGGACAGGCGACCCACTACTGCATGCTATTCATTCGTCTCGACAAGAGACTTATGTATGGAAAGTTCAATGTAACAAAACTTTCCAAGCATGATGATCTACTTTTTGGGAAACTGTGGCTTAGTGCCATATTGCCCAACATTGACTGGAAGGCCAACATGATCTCCCTGCCTGCGACCAGACAGTCAAAGGAGGTGGAGGAAATGCTCAACACCTCCCAACGAGGAAACAAGGTTAAACCTTATCTCTTCCGAGGCGAGAAGGCTGTACTCGAGGAACTGGACGATGAGGACTTTACCCCCCTCAAGTGACTTCCCGAAGGCACCCAGCATTGCCTTGAAGAAATCAAGAAGCGCAAGAAATGCGCCAAGAAGAAGGCGGCACCAACTGTTGTGCCCCTCAAAGATATTGACTTCAATACCATGGATGATGTTTGGGTTGAACAAACCCAGCTTGCGGATAAAGTTGAGGACATTTCCACTTACCCTCTCACTGATAATGAAGTTCTAGTGGAATATGCGTTGGACGGAACCTCCCTCTGGATCATCGAGAATATCTCGTTCAAAACCCTGCTTGCTAGGAATGGAATCTCGAAGCAAGAAATCAAGAAAGCCCTGCAAAGGCAGGCGAAACCCCTTCAAAACCTGTGGATCCTTGCTTCACAGCAGGAATACACAAAGACCTCCAGTAAGGCTCAGGAATTTGCCATGGAGGATATGCAAGAAAAGAAGAAGTCCTTCGAAGAATTGGTACCTTCCTATCTTCATGATTTTGCTGACATCTTTGCAAAAGATGGTCTCAACAAGCTCCCTCCCTTGCAACTGGGGGTTGACCATAGGATTAAAACGAAGGAAGGCTTCATTCCAAAGTCTTCAAGAGCATATCTGCTCTCCCTGAAGGAAATAGATGCTCTCAAAGCATTCTTGGATGAGCACCTTGCCAAAGACTTCATCCAGCCCTCAAAGTCCCCTCAAGCTGCTGGATTCTTCTTTGTCAGCAAGAAGGATGGATTCCTTCAACCGTGCCAAGATTACCGGTATATCAACGAATGGACAATCAAAAAATGTGTATCCACTCTCTTTGATCCCACCCTTGCTTGCAAAACTCAACAAGGCTCAGTGGTTCACTAAGGTTGATGTATGCTCTGGATACAACAATATCCTCATCCACCCAGACGACTGCTGGAAGGCCACATTCTCAACTCTGTTTGGGCTATTCCAGCCCAAGGTAATGTATTTTGGATTGTACAACTCCCCTGCGACTTTCCAAGCTTATATGAACCAGACATTCACAGAAGAGCTAAATGAAGGATGGTTAATCATCTATATGGACGACATCCTCATCTTTTCAGATAACCTCGACGAGCACCAGTGCAGAATGCGCAGGGTGCTGGACAAACTCCAAAAGGAATCTCTCTTCCTCAAAGCCAAGAAATGTACTTTCAACACTCAAAAAGTCAAGTACCTCGGTATGATCATCCGACCAGGACAGGTCGCCATGGACCCTGCCAAGCTGAAGGGTATCAGCAAATGGCAGCAACCCTCCTCCATCAAGGATGTGCAATCCTCTTTAGGATTCTGCAACTTCTACTGTCACTTCATTCCCCACTACTCTGACATTGCATGCCCTCTCCTTGATCTCACCAAGAAAGACGTACCTTTCTCTTGGTCCGACTCTACCAAAGCTTCCTTTCAACATTTGAAGATGCTTTTCACCACAGAACTGGTTCTGTGGAACCCCGATTCTTCATGCCAGTTTGCACTTGCAACTGATGTGTCGTTATTTGCAACTGGAGCAGTCCTGCTTCAGACAGATAGCAACAGAGATTACCATCCCTGTGGTTATCTCTCTCAGTCTCTCAACGTGGCCGAATGGAATTATGAGATCTATGACCGAGAACTCCTAGCCATCATCCGAGCTCTTCAAGCTTGGAGGCACTTCCTCAAAGGGAACTCTCACCCAGTTGTAATCTTCACCGATCACAAGAACCTGATCTATTTTTGATCTGCACAATGACTCACCCGGTGACAGGCCCAGTGGCATCTCACCCTTACCAATTTTGATCTGGAACTACATCACATTCCTGGAACAAAACTTGCTGCTCCCGATGCCTTATCCTGTCGACCCGATCATGACAATTTGAATTATGACAACAAAGATTGGGTCCTCCGGACTGAATTTCACTGAACCTCCCCCTGATCTCATTGATGGGGAGGAACACCACAAAGTGGAAGCTATCCTCCAACACAAGGGTACTGGATCACGTCATTGGTACCTTGTGTCATGGGTAGGCTATCCTCCCTCCGAACGAATGTGGCTCCTAGAAACAGAACTGAAGTCCGCAGCAGAGCTCCTGAAGGCATATAAAAAGCGACTCAAGCTCGCTTTAATTGCCATCTCATGAGCCCTCTCGAGCCATGCAACATCCACATTTGACCCCACTATACCAGAGCCACTCCCGATAATAACAAACCCCTCCACACAACTCCAGACAACTACCATCGTCAACAGACTTGCAACTGCCATCGCCGTGTCATCACATTCCTCTCTCTGTTCCGCTACCTCTCCTGCATCTCCATCTCACCTGAACCAGATCGCCCACCAATGGCTTGGCCTTGATGGGTCAAGAAGGCCTTCCATCAGCACTATTTGAGGAAGGAAATGTGCCTATTGGGAAGCGGTCATCTGTGACCCCTAGTTTGCCATTCGACTCGATAACTATCTCGATTGTACTAATGATGAGATTACCTTCAACCTCATCCAAGCCTTCAGAGGTGTGGATGCCTTGACCAGCGACATTACTAGGGTCGACCTAGCCAGGGACATGTCCCTTAACACCATATCCACCCGATACAACCAAGGCAAGATCAAGCAAGCTCTGCTAAACTTGCTTGAACTTAGGAACTTCCATGCCACTGTCATGGCTGTCAAGGAGGAGCGGGCATTCGATCCCCCTCCCGACCCAGTCGAAGTTGTTGAGCGTGCTATCTATGACAGAGCTCTGACTCCCTGTCTCCCTCAGCCACACTCTGAAACCCCGGAGCCCATCCCCAATGTCACCCAGCTCACAAACCCCAAAATTGATCATCTCTATGAAGAGTATGAACGCGAACACTACACTCCACGTAACCCCACTCCCAACTTCGACACTATCTCCATCACCATCCCTAAATTGGATGAGTGTACCCCTGAACCTCCCACTGTCAATCCCGATGATTGGGTACCCACAGACGTAGTACCACACCTTTCCATCAGCTCTCCCCACACTCTTCCTACACCTCGACATAGGAACCGACACCCTCGGGCAACCTCCGTCCTAAGTTTAGGACTTCCACTTTCCCATGCACATCGTCCGCGCATACAGAACTACACCCGCCACTTCACTCGCGAAGAGGCATAAGATGAAACCATCTCCCAGGCTCAATGGGACGCCACCAAGACCACTCAGGTATACCGCAGCAATGTAGTCTGCCACCAGTGCCGTGTCTTCAGGCACAAACAGAAGCATTGTGTGCAGTACTTCTGCTGCATCTGTGGGCAATTCGCCCCAAAACATCTCACCCCCTTCTGCCCTCATCTTGATGGCAAGAAGATACTCCATCAAGGACCCTCTCAGGAGCTGTTCTACCAAGACATGTACCAGCTTGAAGCTGCGTATGACTAGGACGCTGCTTACATTGAGCAGGAATGTGAGGAGAATGCACTCAAGGCTGCCGCATGGCTCGAAGACCTCAACTTTGATCCAGATTGGTACGTGAACCAGGATGATTAAGCTTGTTGAGCTCAACCTTGAAATGGGGGTAATGTTACAAGTAACATCAGTCACATAGCCCCCCTATCATTTTTCCCCTTCATCCTTGCCCTCACCATCTACCAGCTCATACTTCTCTACTAAATATCCGTTGACAGAATCCTCGGGACTGTTCCTATCCCTCATCTCCATCTCCTCCTTAACCTTATCTTACTATCACACCAACGTGTACACGTGCCTTGGCACTATGACTCGTCCTGACTCCTGCCACTAATGTGGTTTCCCTTTTATGTCTCTCTGACTCGCACCTGCTATGCACTGTATCTTTACTGTTGGCTCATTCCAATATTTCTTGGTCTCTTTCCTCATTCAACCTACCATCACTAATCAGGCTCTGTTGCTAACGTACCTATACCCTTTCCGATTCCCCTTTATCCTTACCTATAGTATGGTAACCTTGCCCTCAACCCTCTCCCACTAGTATAAGTAGTCGGTCATCCTGTACTAGATTCTCTAACTTGAATCTACTCAATCTTCCCTGGAACATACTTCCCTCTGAAGCCCCCTCAGCTTCAGTCTCTAGTATATTTTCTTAGGTGCTCATCGCGCCTAAGCTACCTCGATTGATAGTCTCATCGTTGGACAAGACAGTCCGCACTTTGAGCCTAGTGACTTCAAAGACCGTCGTCTTAGAAGTCACGTGACATATGTATCTGTGATATCTGCTGACTTGACATCGCCAGTCTCACTCGCTACACCAGACATTTCCGGTTACATCATGAACGTTAGTGGACGACACCTCTCTTAGGGCTCTGCATAACAGATCTATTTGAATGCATAACAGATAGATCCACCTTTTTCCTGCGCTTTGCATGCCTTCAGCGCATCTCATGCGCTGGACACACCCTCTCTTAGGCTCATTTAGCATGCCTTGGATTATTTCTCTATTGTCATTTGCTTCTCTGGGTCAAATAAATACATCATACCTCAACCAACACCTTGAGAGTTCAGCTCTATCTCTCATTCAGAGTCAAGAGCTATTTCTTTCATTACTCTGCTCTCACCCAGCAAAGTTGTTGAACCTTCAACTGGAGCCCACTACAAGGGAAACAGCCAGTAGATCCACGCACTTTTTAGTCCTATCATCCATCACTTGACCCTCCTACACCACCCATACTTCCACATTATTCAACTGCACTTTCCTACACCTTAACCTCATATCTTCACTCCTATGCACACAACTTTCCCACACCATGAGCAACCCCATAGATTCACTCAGAATACCCCTATTAGGCACTGATTTAGCACTGCATTTTATCAGAAATTGTACTCAGCTCGTCAACTTCCTGGAGTCAGTAAAACAACTCACACAACTGCTTGGCCTGTCAGACCAGAATGTCATCAAGTATGCCTTGAAGTACTCAGCACCTAAACAGAGGCAGTTGTTTTGGAATTTTATCTAGAATGTGGTGTTGACTGCATGAGGTAGAGGAGCTCACTAACGAGTTTGCAATACTCAGTCTGAAGGTTGTCAACATGTGGAAAAATATCAGTTGGGTGACCAAACTGGAAGGTGAGGTCCATTGGCAGTGCAATATCTTACTAGAATATGAAAGTCAGAAAATTCACCAATTTCACTATCCTACCATGGTCAACAGTTCAGACAATTACCAATGGTCAATAATGTGATCATTTGTGAGGGACAAAATGTGTTGAACTTTTCAAGTGATGTGAAAGGGGCAAAGAATAGTGGAAATCAATAACTGGCTCAATGCAGTGCTATGATTCTAAGTAAAATTGGGTACAATGACCTTCAGAATAATATATTGCAGCTGTATGCAGTGTACTTGACTTATAATATGATACTTCTTACTTAGATCTTCAGAAATAGAGAACAAATTCACTAGTGGGATCGTCACAATACATGGCCTCAAAACCAACTCTCTGCTGCTCAGGATCTCACTATGAGTAATGATGTAGTCCAGAATAGAGTACATCCTTTGATGTAGTCTTAAGTGGCCAAGCTCTTAATATTCATTAACAGATTGTAGGTCTTATTTGTGTCTTCCCTAATTGATGAATAATACATGTAATTCTTCTCACAGAACTTAGAATGAATGATGCTTATGTAATCAAGTGTGGCTCAAGTGTGTGGCCTAAGGTACTTCTGAAGAGTGTGTGAAGAATGATGGAGTAAATAAATTACACTGGTAGCTTGGCATCTTTCAATCTCCACCCTGCCCTACCCTAGCATTCTTCATTGTTGTCATTGTTGTCGCTGCTGTCAACCTCTCTGCTATTATGTGATCCCTAATCACTACTCACCCTATCTTTGGCAACCATCTGTAACAGTATGATACATGCTAGAGGTCGAGGGACTCATGGTCAAACACAACTTAAGTGTGATGCAAAGGGAAAAGCTCCTACTAGCATAATAGACTCAGTAGATGATGAAGACAACATGTCATAGATCACTAATAGTGCACCCCCTCCTGCTAATACCATAAAGAAGCCAATCCAATGGGAGAAAATTCACAGTGCTCATACCTCTCAGCTCATTGCCTGGTGCAAAGATAATGAGGATGCATGCATCAAACTCTTCTCGGATTCTATGAAGGACACCAAGGACCAGGGCAGGAAAAGAAGCAGAGTGGTGTACCTAAAGAAACATACTACCTGCAGCTTGCAGGTTCTGTATTCGCAAATGATAAGGATCCTGAGATGAGACTCCTCTTCCAGCAGAACCCTAAGGCTTTCATCAAGCCTGTCCAGATGCGATTTAAAGTGTAAGTATCTCTGAATTTTTTGATCATCTAGCCCATCTGTCCATGACTGATCAGATGTTTTAGACTTAAGAAAAAATACAATGAGGTCAATGCGACCCTCAAGCAGCCGGGCGCTGAGATGACTTTTGATGACCTACATAAGAACCCAGAGACAAAGACACTTCTCAGTAAGTTATAATTATCATTGGCTGATCACCCACTAATTTTTTTGCTTATAGATTCACAACTAGTGAAGTTCCTGTGGTGGCTGGAGCTTCACAGTTGGTGGAGAACCAATCCAGTGTATAACACAGTATCATTATCTGCAGACCCTGGATAAGACTTTGAGTCTGCAGCACTACAACACTTAAATGTGTCTGGCAGCAAAGACATGCAAGTTTCTGATGGAGAGGAAAATCTACTCGAAGACAGTGAAATTATGGACATGGACAATACTGACACCCATCTAGATGACATTGGCCCTGTGCCTGTGGCTGATTAAATTACTACAGATCAGTTCTCCTGCGTACAACCACCACCATCCTCTCACTCTTCATCATCAGCTCCTAGTACTTCTCATGCATCTACCTCTCTCTCATTCACTCCTTTTCAACATCTTTGCCCTCTGATCACTCCAATTGTAATATGTCCTTTTGATGACACAAATGCAGTGTCACTGAACTCCTCAGATGCTATTATACCCGATGACAGTGATATGCAGTCCGATGGCAACTCATTTTTTTCAAATTTGAGGCAATCCACATCTATTTCTACTTCTATTTGTGATGCCACACCGCAGGACTCAGAAGACTCTGATTTCAGTGCTTGTCATAGAATGCAGGGTCTCCATGTTGACTCTCATAAGCCAATAAATGCAAACATATGATGCATCTTGCTAAACAAGAATATATGCACAAATGTGACCTCATAAGCCAACAACTGAAGCAGATGAGGCTTGAGCTTGAGCTTGCTCATGCATGTCGAGAAGAAAAGGAGGCAAGGATTTGGTGTATTGCAATGTAGTGGGGCATGGATTCATAAAACTGACTATCATCGTCACATTAACTTGGTCTTTTGTTTTGCTTTTTTGTTCATGTACTATAAGCTATTGTTTGAGTAGACTATGTATTCATGAATTCTGCTAATGCATGTCTACTGAGCTAGGGCACGAAGCAAGCGACCCATCAAAGTGTTATGAAAATCTTGACCTGTGGTGCTGATGTCACTCTCATCACTCTATCCATCCTCTTCATCAGTGTCATGCTCATCTACAATCTCCTCATTCATGTCTAGTCCGGTTAGTTCCTTATAATAGTCTTTATCTGAAGTCGCCATACCAAGGCTTTCCTTGATCTTGATGATCATGTTATGTAAGATTAGGCAGCAGTGAATCCACATGTTCAAGTAGTCCAGCTCTTTTGTGCCCTGGACTGAAAATTGAAGCTCTTGCAGACTCTGAAATCTGCCCATGAGCAAGCCGAAAAAATGTTCAAAACAGATGCAGACCTATAACAACATAAGTATCATTTTAAGTTTATATTGTGGACACTTACTTTTGAGAGGTTGTAATTAAATGTTTGCTGATCTCTCGTTAAGACACACCATGTTTGTGCCCCATATGCAGAATCTGCCCACAGCCACTGGCCCACACCAAAGAAGTCTTCTGGATTGCGTGCAACCCTTGTGTGTCCAAAGATGTTTGAATCATGAAGGCTTTCAGGTATGCCAATCACATAATCGATGATATGGAGATTGTGAGGTAAAATAACAACCTTTAAGAGTGTAAGCATGTCATCAACAACACTAGAAGCCAATGTATCTAAGCTGTGAGTGAGTAATTTGAATGTTTGTTGAAAAATCCTTTCCCATGCCACCTAGGCTTCTGAAATAGATTGAAGGGGGTGCCATCAACATATAGGAACCCACCCCACTATTCTTGGCACATTTTTCCCTCAACCCACTGCTGCAACCTTTTTTGTTCCTCAAGATTCTCTCAATCAAGTGGATCAAAGTGAATCACATTGTCATAATACTTTAAAATAGCAATCATGACTAGTTTGATGCAATTGTACACTGTTCCAACAGAGACTCCTGTCCAATCCACTAAGTCCCCTGTCATTGCTGTATTGCTGTAGTGGCTGACACCATTGAGAAAGATTGCGAGCTGAATTGGAATGGAGAGTTATTGATTATGAGATTTATTGTAAAAAAAATTTGTGGCCCTCAAGACAGTTGACAAGATTGTCAAAGATGATAGGTGGGATTTGAAGTTTTTGGTGAAACTTGTTAGGAGCATGTATCTCCCACTCTGGCAGCAAGTGCAGCTGTGGGGCACATGAAAGTTTTGGTCTGGAATTAAGAACACAGCTCTTCTGTGCCTCATTATGTAAAGCATGGACTACATCAATAAATTCAGTAAACACTGGAGTAGTCATCTCTGGTCTATCTGATGAAGGCTAGAATGTTATCAGTGAGTAAGTGCTTATGCCTGTGGCATCTGACATGAGAGAGCTCCAGGATGAATTGGATGATATTGAAGAAACTGACATGCTGTTGTCACTTGATAAGCTGCTGGCATCACTCTCATCTTTAGAGTCAGTTTCCTGGATAAGTTAGTTGATCATGTGGTTGACATAGCAAGCTACTATAAGGTTATTATGTGTATTTTTCAAGACTTGAAGTTATTGTTTGTGAAGCGAGAGTCAAGGCATATTACTGACAGATCTTATCAGCATTGAGTATAGGCTGTGTAAGCACAGTGGAGATATAAATCAGAGTTTTAATAAGGTATGGTTGGTTGAGTTTTACTTTCTTTGTATTGATCCTTATGTGAACTTTGAGTACCACTAATGGTTCACTCAAATATAGGGGCTAAGAGTCTTAGAGGTGAATACTTGAATCCCCTGTGTCCCCTAAACTTTATTCTCACTTTGTTAATACTTGGGAAAATGAGCTCCTTATATACTACTAGACTAGTAGCTGTGCCACTGATTACTAATGTACTATAGAATACTCTAGAATGTGTCAGAACTATTAAGAAAGTACTTGTATAATATTCTGGAATGTCTTTGCACTATCGGGGCTGTGCAAGCACACGACAAAGTGCAAGGCGATAAGGGAAACCTGTTGTTGTGCCAGTGTCCTTATCGCCCCCAGGGCCCGCAGTCTGGGCCTGGTGAGAGGAAGCCTCACCGCAATAAGGGTATCCCAGTTCGTACACTCCCCTAGATTGGGTCAAGGCCGGCCCTCATCACGCAGGGTCCGTGCATCAGACTCCCTTTCTACATAAAAGGCTTAGGAGTAGTGTGGTCTAAACACAAACAGAGGTAAGGCGGTTAGGGTAGCGGTAAGCCCTCTGATGAGACCCTTTGCAAGGTTGAAACCGTTTCCATCCCTGCCGCCTTACTAACTTTTCCCTCCCACTACCAACCTGGGCCCTATCTTCGGAGACGGCGGGCAGCTGGAGTGGTGTAGATCAGTGGTCAGCCTGGCCCCTTGTGCCAAAGACCAAAATCTATGCTCACCATGCAGCAGAGGCCTTGTTCCTCGGCCCCCTCGCTAGGGGGCCTAGATTGGCAATCATAGAATGTTTGACAAAAAGCTGTGTTGGTTACCAATCTTAAGTTATTTGTTTATATTGTCAACTTGTTTGGTACCACTGCTTTCAAAAACATAAATGTAAATAAAGTAGGAATGGCATATTTGTGCATGTGTTTGCCTATAGCATGACATAGTTGTATAGGTATTGGCATAGGGGTACAGAAAAATAATGAATTATAAAAAAGATAAATGGTACATTAAGTATTCAGTTTAAACTGCTAAGTTGTATCTTGAGGATACATGCTTGGAAATGTTCAAATAAATTTGAAGTAGGTTATAGAAAAATTAAAGGGAAGTTGGTATTTTACAGTAAGGGGTATTGTGTATCATAAATTTACCATGATCATGTACAAAACAAGTTTTGTGTGTGTTAGCAACAGGATTGCATTCTGACATGCCATGTTCTGCCAGTAAATATGCAATATAGTCCTCCTGGTGCATTCAAAGTTCACAAGTGTCTCAATCACGAATGAACTGAATACTGAGATATTTCGTCACAGGCTCAAGATTGGTAATCCATGATTTTGCCCCTTCGTCTGATCAGATAAGGAATGAACGATTGTCAGAACCTGCAAGTCTGTCATCAATGTGCTAAGCAATAATACAGATCATCCTCACCTCCTCACCATTGACATGATCAAAAATGAAAACAGCATAGTTGGCCGCACAGCACAGAAGACCAAGATGAGTATGCACTTTATGGAGGAGCTTGTACCAGTGATATGCAGCCTGCTCAAGGCCGTAGAGGAAAAGGAGATGCACAATGAGGCAAAGACCACCATCACCTGCACATTCAAAACCAGGAGGTTTATGTGGTATCTGTTGTTATCCTTGACTTGGCTGATGCTTTCCTTGTTGATTCCTTGACTTTGTCTGATGCCCTTGAACTTGACTTTCATTGACTGTGTTCTTATCCTTGACTTGTTTGGTTGTTGTCCCTTGACTAACCCTTGACTTTCCTTTAATTTACTTGACTTTTCCTTGGATTCACTTGACTCTATCTTGATTTTTGTCTCAAAGTGTCGATGATTTTCACCTTTTTTGGCCATGACTTGCTCAGATTACATCATCTCACTACACCACTACCACAGACATGTTCCCCCAGGTCCTCCGCACAACTTTTGGTTTTGACTTCCTAATTTGTATTTTTGTTCCCATGATTCGACAACTAGGCTGTTTCCTTATCCTTATCCTTATCCTTGACTGGTCCATCTTATTTGACTAGTAACACTTTCTTTATTCCTTGACTGGTTACATTATCCTTATCCTTATGGTCGACATTTTCTTATCCTTGACTTTTACTTATCTTTGAGTTATCCTTGACTTGGCTTATCCTTATCCTTATTGTATGCTTATCCTTGACTTTCCGTATGATGACTTATCCTTAGGATTGACTTGGCTCAAATGCACCAATGTTTTTCGCCTATTTTGAAAATATCTCTGTCACATTACAGACTCTCTCTACAGTGCTGCATCAAAATTAAAACTTGACCCTCTGAGGGGAACTTGGGGGCCATATATGGAAGATCATGTGTGCATGTGTGCATGTTTTGACATGGGGGTTGATGGTTCCTGGGGTAAAAAATGTCAAGGATTCTTTTTCTTGGTGGGTGCGCTGAGTGAAAATCATGACTCAGGCCTGCGGAGGACAGTTGGTGGTCTGCGCCATTCACAGACTGAAGTCCTTCAAATACATTGAGCTCTGGTACTTCAGCCCAGATGAATGCAAGGCAACAGCTGATGAGGCCAAAACCAACGCGGATGACGCCTTTGGCTTCACCAAGGTAGAAGACTTTGTAGCCCTCAAGCCAGTCGCCTCCTTCAAAGCCTCCCACAGGGCTATCCAAGACCATAGCCTCGAATGGCGACAGTTTGACCTCACCAAAAACAGCTTTCTCCTGCACATCAACAAACTTAAGTGGCCAGAAAAGCACCAATGCGCACTCACCATGTTTTTCATGAACATTGTCGCGCATCCCTACCGCTCTGAACACTTTGGCGAACAAGCTCTACTCCTCTATGCAGCCCATGTTCACTGTGACTAGCATGATACCCTCGTCCTCAACAATGCCTTCGACATCAGCATGTTCAACCTCGCGCTCCTGAAGAACATGAGCGAGGAAGTTTGGAATAAAGCCCGCTATGACTCACTTAATGAGGTCAGTCTCGTTGAACACCTCACTCACCATGACCAAGACTAACTCCTCTTTCCCATATCCATTGCTACCTCTAAAATGCTACCTCTGCTACCGCTACTGCTACCTTGCTACCTCTAACCCGCTACCACACTACCCAATGTTGCTTCCCCCCCAGCTCCAACAAGCATCCAAGCCACAACAGGAACCCAGTTGCGACCAGACCGTCTCCCAGCGTCACACCAGCCATGACCAGACCACATCCCAGCGAAACCATTCTTGCAGGGACAACCGCCACACTCGCTCGTGTTCGTGTTCGTGTTCCCTGGCTCATAACCAGCCACCTCGTCTTCCCCCGCATGCTGCCTTGCCTAAAGATCAGTGTCACTGCCAAGAGCAGAAACACTCAACCCAAGACAAACAGCCTTTTCATGCCAGCGCAGCACCGACCAGCCTCTTTGCCTGCGCTTTATGCCTTGGCCATTTTGCCCACAACGTCCACAGATGCAAAAGCGAATTTCTTTGGGACAGCAAGACACCCACCTTCTGTCGTTGGAACATGGAAGGACGGCTCATCAATGCCCAAGGCATGCAGCTCTGTTACGATTGGCAGCACCCCAATGGTTGCATGAGCAGCAGCAAGGACCACATCCACCAATGCTCCAGATGCGGAGGCTCAGATCATGGAGCTCAGAACTGTCCTCGAGGGCAGGAAGCTTAAGGCACTCACTCCTTACAACCCTGAGGCATGGTGTCTCGCACTTACAAAATCCAACCTCATCCTTCATTACCCACACATACCCCAGTCATTACAGTACGGTTTCCTTGGCAGCATTCCCAGTATTACAAGTACATATACACCACCTAATAACTCTTCCATTATCGAACACACTGATGCCTTCACATCAATTCTTGCCCGAAAATTTGAGACTGGACACTATCTCGGCCCATTATCCGCTGCTGACCTGGAATCCCTCATTGGACCCTTCCAAACCGCCCCACTCTCACTCATCCCAAAGCCAGGCAGACCTGGCAAATTCCGCCTCATCCAAAACCTATCCCACACTTCAACTTCTCTCTCTCAACCAGTTAGATCTATTAATTCGCACATCAACTCTGACCTCTACCCATGCACTTATGGCACCTTCGCTACAATATGTCTACTGGTCTGGCATCTTCCACCCGGTTCAGAGGGTGCCACTCAAGACATGGCAGAAGCTTACTGCACCATACCACTACACCCCTCTCAATACCCAGGTACAGTGGTTCGCACAGGTGAAGATGAGTTCGCTATTGACACCAGCTTTTGTTTTGGCTGCATGTCAGCAGCTGGAACATAGGGTGGCCTGAGCCAGAATGCGCCCCCACAGATTCACTTCTAATTTCAACCTTTATTGCCTTCGCAGCAGGTTCATATTCCAACAAGACAATAGCCAACTATGTCTTCGGAGTCCATGCCTGGCACATCCTACATGGCATACACTGGGTACTCAATGACGAAGAGATAGATGCCCTCCTCAAAGCCACCAAGAACCTAACCCCTCCATTATCGAAGTGCAAAAAGAGACGCCCATACACCGTCGAATTCATTTGCGCAATCCGCGACCGACTCAATCTCCAATTGCCCCTTGATTCAGCCGTATATAGTTGTCTCACTACCACCTTCTACTGTACAGCTAGACTCGGCAAATTCACCATCCCTACCCTATCATCCTTCGACCCTAATCTCCATGTCAAATTATCAGACGTGCACACCGAACGTGATCGAAACAACTTCGAAATGAGAGTTTTTCACCTCCCCCAGACAAAAACCTCATCAACAGAGGGCGAAGATGTCTCGTTCGCCAAGCAGAACGGACCTTCAGACCCAGAGGAAGCCTTCCTCCATCACCTCGAAGTCAATAACCCACCTCCTGGAATCGCACTATTCGCATATCGCCATAAGAATGGCCACCACTCCCTCACAAAACAGAAATTCATCTCCCGAGTAGCCATAGCAGCCAGAGCTGCAGGCATGGATCCCTTACAGGGCCATGGAATTCGCATCGGGTCAATGCTTGAATATCTCCTTCGCAATGTTCCTTTCGAAGTCGTGAAAACGAAAGGGTGCTGGGCCAGTGACGCCTTTCAGTCATACTTACAGAAACATGCCCAAATACTGGCACCATTCATGCAAGCTACTCCTGCTCTCCATGACAAGTTCATCCTATTCTCAATGCCGAGATCTTGCTGAATGAAAGTAGCTTTTATGTGTGAGTAGTCTTCCCCCTCCTACCAGATTGGGTCTTTGTGGCTTCACTGCGATGCATCGTTATGGACTCCTACAACCTTGGGGATTCACAGCTCACCCTTTTCTCTTTGGCAGATCTCTGATTGGGGCCAGAAACGCTTCACGCCTTCACCCACCCACTTAGTACCTAGCCTTCACACCATGCTCTCATCATAGTCCCATCTGAATATATTGGCTCCTGAATATTCTCTTCTCAATCATGCGATGAAGTGACACCCTAAGATTACATCGTAAAAGGTTTCAAGGACCATCAGCTCCCTAACGTCATTTGCGGCCCTATGGCCACGAGTTCTATGATCCCCATGCGAGATCGGGAGGCAACCTGACAAGAAGCTGAATGACGTTGAAATGTCTGGTTCATCAACAATGCATGAGACGTGCTCCAAATGTGATAGTGCATCATGGAACTCCTGGAAGAGATGTTGAGCCCATAAGCAAACGTCTTCATGTCTTCTCTCAAACCAGAATGTCAGCCTTTTTAGATTCAATGTGTCTGCTAGCATGCGATCAAAACAAGGTGCCCAGGAAGGGATTCCAATGCCCCGAGGCTGGATAACTAGGCGCTATATGGCTATTAGTCACAACCCTGCTATAATTAAACAAGTATTGCTGACCTGAGTAACCAGACCTGTCAGCATGATTTTCTCGATGTCCTTGAAAAGTGGTGCGTGGGATATTGCGGCATGCGGGCGCCAAATCATGGAATTAAGTCCCAAATTCTTGACAGGTACTGTGGAGAGGTCAGTGAGGTCACTAAGCAGTGTCCCACTGTTGTGTACATGTTGGCCTCTGAAACGCACAGTGTGAACTGGGTGTCCAGGTACAAGGTATTTTACAAAAAAAGAGTTGGCAGATATTCCTGTTAGAAGTGGCAGAGATGTGGGAAGAAACATCTCACGTTTGGGATAGATATCTGATGTGGGCATGCCAGTGAGAGTGAGATCACGGATGCTTTCCTGTCTATTCAAAAAGCTTAGGAGTCGGCAGTTGACATGATAGGTGCAATGAAAAACATGAAGCTCGGCATCACAGTACTGAAGGACGGACGAGTATTCGTGTTTTGGGGAATGGATAAGCTTGAGTGTTGAGAGGCAGGTCATATTCTTGAGGGCTAATGTGAGATTATCTAGGTGCAGAGTCAGGACCGTCATCAACCATGTTTGTCAGATATGTAAATATGAAAGATTTGACTTTCTCTGCGAGTGTGGTACAGACGTCTGATTTGATGACCATGATGGACTCATACAGAGAGTTGGTTACTGCGTGATAGAAGCTGGTGCACACTCTGCAGAGTACAGCTAGGTCATTAGAAGAAAATTTGCAGAAAGAGAAAATGTTGAGCCACAGCTCAACAGGCAACCTCAAGTTGTTAACAGTAGTCAGCATAAGGGGCTTAGTAGAGGGGCTTAGTACTAGAGCGCAATCACAGGTGTCTCGGAAACGTCCGAAGTGGGACCCTGTAAGTGTTTGCCTTATGAAAGACTCCACCATCTCACTGGAGCAACACTGGAGTACATCAACTTTGTGGCCAGCCATTTCAATTGGGAAATCGTTTGAAGGCATGCATGTAGCATGAATTGAGTTACCGGGCTCAAAGAACTCATTTATGTGCATGAAGGATGTAGGGAGAAACAACCCAGTGTGACAGACACAATTGATCAAACATCTAATGGTATACTTATAATCACCCACACTGGCACATATGACAACATTTTATATGTGACTTCTCAATGAGAATAAGTGGTCTAGGATAATCCAGACAAGTCAATGAAACCTCCATGACATCATATATATATCATTGGATATAAGTACTGTTGATGTACATTCACATACTCCCAATACTATGTAACTCTTCTTGCCTCTTGCTATGTACTGTACAGCACCTTCGTGTAAGTCTTAGGAGTGGGCGAGCGCGCAAGAGATGAGCTAGATAGCATGTTATTATCTCAGTCTCGAGGTAAAGGACTCTCGTATGTACCTAGATAGAATGTTATTCTAAACGGACTGGTTAGCTCGTAGCGTAAATGATGGTATAGGTACTCACATCTCAGTCTCGAGGTAAAGGACTGAGATGCTTCGATGTAGGTACTGCAGATTTTATCATACGGGAAAAATAGGAATAGAATAGAAATTTGTTTGAAACATTTTGACGAGGCGACTCAGCTGAACGCTGACACATTGCGCTCGTACCTGTTATGATGTCATTTAGCCGTCGTCTTCCTCCAACTCCGACACTCCCCCTCGAGCGCAATCCTCCAATCCCATGAGTTAACGGAGTTTCTTGAGATGGGGTCGTGGAAGGGGCTTGGTGCATGCGTCGGCAACATTGTCTTCGGTGGGACAATAAATGAGTGAGAATGTTCCATCCTTGACATGGGATCGTATGAAATGGTATTGCAGGTCTATATGCTTCGTCCTGGAATGATACTTGTTGTTCAATGCAAGGGCGATTGCTGATTGGTTGTCGCAATTAATGGGGGTCAGGAGTACGGGGGGCTCGTAGAGCTCATCCAGGAGGAGCTGCAGGTAAAGTACTTCCCTCGCAACAGTGGCTAATGCGATATATTCTGCCTCGGCTGTGGACAGTGCAATCAAGGGCTGCTTGCGCAAGCTCCACGCTATCGGGCCGCCATCAAGCATCACCAAATAGCCCAACATCAAATGTCGGTGCGCTTGTGATCCCCAGTCTGCATCTACATACACCTCTAGACCCCCTTCCGTTCCTCCCAAGGTAAGACCAAACTCAGACGTACCCTTTAGATAACAAAGGACCCTTTTGGCAGCCTCCCAATGGGCAGGGCCAGGGTTGCGCATAAATTGCGACAAGGTCGCGATGGAGAACATGATATTGGGTCGTGTGCTCGTGGCGGCGTACATGAGGGAACCGATGGCCCTTTGGTAAGGTACGTTCCTCATGGCTTCAACTTGAGCTAGTGTAGTGGGGGAGTGTCCATCTGTTAGGACAGTACTTGAGTCCATGGGTGTCTGGGCCGTCTTGGCGTCGACGAGGCGAAAATGTTCGAGGATGGTCTCCACATAAGCCTTCTGGGATAAGGTGAGTGTGCGTATAGCTCGGTCTCTCTCTACCTTTAAACCCAGCAGCCAGGTCAGTTCTCCCAGATCCGATATCTCAAAGAATTCGGTAAGTCGCTCCTTGAAGTGGGTAATGTGCCGGAGGTGCTTCGAAGTGACTGCCATGTTGTCCACCGACACCGTGATGACGGTATGTTCATCTTTCACTTGTTTGTAGTACACTGCTTGATCCACTTTCGACCTCTCAAATCCCAGCTTCGCAAACACTCCCACCAGCTCTTCAGACCACTCGAAACCCGCTTGCTTAAGGCCTGGCAAGCTCCGTTGCAGCTTTGGTACTTTCCCCTCCTGACCTGCCTTTAGATATCCTGGGGGCGCCCTCATATATATGTCTTCTTTGAGTTCGGTGTAAAGGTAGGTGCTCTTTATATCCACTTGATGGATTTCCCAGTCATGGCTGGCTGCCATAGCGAGTACCGTGCGAATTGTCGACATATTTGATGTGGGGGTGAAGGTATCGAAGTAATCGATGCCATATTTCTGTCGCTGCCCATTGGCCATCAGGCGAGCGCGGAGTTTAAGCTTTTCTCCATTTGGCCCTCGTTTTGTCACCAGTACATAGTGGCATGGAATAAGGTTTGCGCTGGAAGGTGCGTCTACCACGGTCCAAGTTCCGAGCTTCTCAAGCTGACTAATTTCATAGTCAATGGCTTCTTGCCACTCTATGGCGTCAGGGCCATTCAAGGCCTGCTGGAGCGTTACTTCTGGCTCAACAGCAGCCATAGCATGGTAATAGGTGAGTGCCAGTTCGTTTTCAACATCATGCTCACTTTGCGTCTCGGCTGCTAGGGAGGCAACATGGCCTTCATTTAGCCCAGCATAATAGCCAGGTGGCGGGCATCGACGGGTGGATCTAGGCTCTGGGAATTCTTGGAGCGGTTGAGGTGAAATAGAAGAGGGCTGTGGGGGCTGTGGTATGATGTTCGGAACGTTACCTGGCGCCTTTAGGCTCGACTCCCCCACGTTCAGTATGTCAGTTGCCACTGTCACCATCTGTGGTGTGAAGCTGACGTTTCTCTCTACGGATACCCTCCATTTTTCTGGCCAGTATATCCGATAGCCTTTGCTCTGGTCGTCCACGCCTACAAAGACCCCCTCCATGGCTCTAGCCTCCAGCTTCCCTCCATCCAGGACATGGACATACACCGGGCACCCAAACTCATGGGCCCTCTCCAGCGTGGGACATTTACCATGGACCAAGTCATAAGGTGTGTGATTCGGGGTAGCTCGTGATGGTAATTGATTCTTGAGCCAAGTAGCATAGGTGATGGCCT